CGATGTCTGATATTATTAATCGCTTTCATTTCATCTGTATTCGCAGCTATGCCTCTTGATGAATTCATTATGGATCTTTCGGGTTCGGTTGGATGGCGGTTGTGTTTGTTTTGAGTTTTATGACAAATGGAAATATATTTCGTTACCTTTTTGACACCTGACCTCATGTTTGGACGTTATACAGTTTGTATCGCATTTGGAGTTATTCCATTAGCTTCAGATCTTGTAAACTAGTCGATTTACTGTTGTTCTGCTCATGCTTTCTTAATACTTTACTTCCCTGCATGTCTGCGGCATAATGTCACCGCCTTTGGGCTTGTAGAGGCTGTAGGGTTATGTTACAGCGTGGCTACGATTTAATAGTATTATAGCACCAGTGCCATGATAGACTTGAACCTCGTATGTGACGAGGTGCGAAATCCAGTCAAAATCCCACAGCTTCTGTTTCGGGCCCATTCGTTCTCTTCATGCACAGTTGGCTACTAATTGAATCACCTGAGCTGGTTGTAAGTAGCATGTGCCGTAAATCAAGTCAGACGCTCCTAACGGAGATTTCCATTAAGAAAGAACGAGGCTTCCACATGAAGTTAGTCGTTTTATGATTTTGCTACTGGCATCAGTTTCAGTAAGTTGTTTTTTCTTCAGATATTCTGGATCTTGCTCAACTCGGGCAAGTTCTGTGGGCCATCTGGTCTGTCAAGTCTGTTTCTGTTTAGTAGCCATGAGCCATTGGCTTCGCGAAGAGAGTCAGTTGTGCATATCTCCTTTTCTTCATTCGTTCCAACAATTGTAATTTTTTGACTTTGTATAAGGAATGCTCACAAATGAGAATATCTGGATTTCTTAAATTGCAATGTCTCTAGACTTGTCTAACCTCATCACATCAGCGGTCCTTCGGAGAACCTTATTTCTGCTGCTTATATCCTTCTTCACTCGATATTTCATTTAATCAGACCGGTTCATTTTCTTCATTACTCCATTCCTTGAAAAACTGTACTGGAGATTGTCCATGTTTAAATTCTGTAGAGCCGTAGCTTCCTTAAGTTTCTTTCCTCAGGCAACTGGGAGCAAGGAGTCGCAGTACGCCTTCAAATCTGGTTTTAAGGAGTTTTACTTTATCCTTATAAATTTGTCTTTCGATACCCTATTCGCCATCACACATATGCTACCCCAAGTTACCGAACTTGTTCCATCTCCTTTAGTTGCATTCCTCTAATGTATTAGACTTTTTCGCTTTCTTCATCATTTTTTTCTTCTGAGTTTCTTTGTAGCAACAGCGAACTGAATGTTTGCCACTGTTAGTGATCTTTTGCGCTGTGGATGAAGTGCTTCATCCCTTCCTTGGTCATTTTCTTCTCCGACTACCGGAAGTCTCGGAATGACTTTCCCCAAAATTTGATTACTTGTTTAGTCCTTAAAATTAATATTTTTTTCCATCTGGAATTTTTTACTTTATGATATCCTGTCGTTAAAATTGAATCTTCTTGGGTGCTCACTTCGAAAAAAAAATAGGACACATTGGAAATGACTAACTAACCAAATGTTGCAATCCTTCGTCTAATTTCATGCAGAATTTTAAGTTGCAGCACGGTTGATAAAGTAATGACCTGTTGATGACTGAAGGGGAATGTGACAGTTTTTTGCTTATTCATATCTTCATCTTATGTTGTCGGCTGTTTCCGCAGAAGCAGATGTTCCTCTCCACAAGCACATCTGCCTCCACCTTTTCCCCTATAATTCATGTTGGCTGGCATCCTGTTCGACGTCTACCATTTCAGCTCTCATACAACAGGCTCGTAGGCTGTGGTAAATGGTTTGTGTCCAACTAGTCTGTGTAACAGGGCTAACCTATATTTGTGATTTTTCACATCTACCGAGACCACCTATGTCCTGAAGTAAAGAGAGTCATTCCTAGCGTGGTTCTGCTAGTTAATCTGTAGAAGCCAAAGTTGCTGTACGCAGTTCAACCGTCGTTCTTGCTAATTCGTGAGAACCACTGTCTCCCAAGTGAAACAATCCTGACATGACTCAAGCAAGGTACAGGCGAATTTTCATTATAAGGATAGCTCCTCGCAGCGTAAATATTGACTGGGTCTCCTATTTAACTCTGGTTGTATAGTACCATTTTTGAAGATCTACTGCTTCACGTACCTGTTCCACTTACAGATCAGCTGTGTTAGATGGGTTTGTAAAAACTACCGTTGATTCATTGTTTGCTGTTCTCTAAGTTAAACCGTAGAGGTCACATCTAGACTCAGCGAACGGTTTTGGAAAATTTGGTTAAACAGCCATTCCCATGGGTGTCGGATAATTTCCGTGGGTGGATTACTTCTTCTTCATTTATGTCAAAGATTGTCCATGAAATCGCGGGTTTGGTGATATTAAGCGTCTGCGAGAAGCATCCTGAACCTCATCGCAAGCCAGCCCCTGATGCTTTTAAAGCTTCTTCAAATGGCCATTAATTTCTTGCTCTGTTGGACGCTAAAATTTATCGACTAATTGATAACTGGATATTTCCTCATATAGTAGTTGTGATTTAGATATAATAGAATCTTAAATTTTAGCTCTGGAGCTTAGCACCTGTTGAGCTTCTATATTGAAGTCGATGAATCACCATTGAATTAAAGCTCATCGCCAACTAACTGTGTTTTCGTGTCATGCAAGAGGTTTCAGTACTATTTAGTGTTTTGTATTAACTTTTTTATAGTTTCTAGTTTTCTCACCATTGGATGTGCTGAACAGCAGTTGAAGTTCTTCTCATAAAATAGAGTATAAACTTGCTTGCACTCTGATTTATCTGCTTACTAAATTGTTGCTTGCTTGCGTACTAATTCAGTTGCTTTCTTAACGTCGTATTCCATTATAGCTTGTTTTACTACTTAGTTATTCAATTGCTTGCATAACTTCTGACTTACTGCCTTACGTACATGTTCACATTTCCTGTGTGCTTAGTATATTACTTACTTCTGGTCGTCACTGTCGTCACCTACTGCTGTAGTACTTTGTACACTTACTTTCTTCACCGTTTCCTTAATTTTCTTGGTATTAATTTACTAGCTTTCTTACTTGCGTACCTACGTTTATCCTGTTGTCCGTCTACTGAATCAATTACGTAATTACCCAATCGAAAATTTGCTTGACTGCCAAATTGCTTTCGTACTCGTGTATTGGTGTTTTCTTTTACTGACTCCGCAGTTACTCTGCTCAAGCCAGTACTTAGGTGACTACCTACTCGTATTTTATGTACTGACTCGCTGTGTTGCTTATTTTGGTGCTTACTTGTTTGATTGCTTACTTAATTTTTTACTCAATTCTTACTCATACACTTACTAAGTATTTATTTGGCTTAATTGTTTACTTATTTCATTGGTTGCTCATTTACTAAAATCTCTACTGACCTAATTAATTGCTTTTTCGTTTTTTCACTCTCATAAATGCTAAATGTGTTTATTCGAAAACTTCAGAGAAGAATAATATTGGCTATATTTTGAGTAAGCGTGGTCGAAAACCATGACTTCATGATATTACTGGCACTTTTTTGTTGTTACTTGATTCGTTCTCTTCCTTATTTATGTACTTACTTAGTTGTTTACGTGCTCACCCTTGTAATTGCGTTTTTATTTGCTTGTTTATTAGACAGTTGCTTAATTTCTTACTTATTTTCTCAGTGATTAGCTTACTTAACATGCTTAAGTTGTTTTCTTTATCATGTATGAATGCCGAAAGAACATCTCACGTCTTCCATTGTCAGTCTTTCTAAAAGAACAGTCTGTCGAAACCCAGACATACCTGAATCCTGTCCATGACATAGGGTCATCTTAACTTCTTACTTTCCATGTAGACGTTTGTCTCAGAGATGCCTACGTTCCCCATATTTCGGGTCCTAGTTGGATTATTACATGACTCACTGCCTTTGGTCCAATTTTGATAATCTGCTAATTCATAGGTCTAAAAACAATTTTTGTTTTTTTTTCAATTGCATGTTTAGTTTATTGCTTGGCTTTTACCCGCGAAACTTTGGGTGTCTGCCGCGAAAGAAAATGATTTATGTATTGGTGTCTGTCACGTGATGCATCCTCATAAATATTTTGTATTCATAATGCAGTCTTTGCTGTAGATCGCCATGTGGAATCGATCATTTTCGCTGGTCGATAGCGGCTCCGAGATTTACGAAACAATGGACATGTCCGAAACATACATGTATTCAGACTTCAGCTCGGACTATACCATGCCACCACCGCCGCCACCGAAGGTTCCACAACCGGAGGTGAAGAAGCAGGAGATCGTTCACTTATGTCTGTACAAGTTGCAGACGCTGGCACAGCAACAACGGGACACGTCGTTGCGGAAGTCGGTACTTATATCGAACACGTTGCGTTTGCTGCAGAACGAGATGCTGAGTCGCAGATACAACCAGTTGCCGGCACCCACCAGTCAGGGGGACTTGGATGCCATGGAGTGGTCGCTGCACATGGCCGATAACAACGACTCTAGCTACTGCACCGGGCTGGGCTCCGTCGACTCGGTCGCTGAGGAGGAAATAGCGGATGAAGACGATGAAGAATTGGACAAGAAGATCTGGTCGATGTTTCCGGAGGGCGACCAGACGAATGTGGAGATAGTGCCCGATGCTTGGTTCGAAAACACGCCGTCGTTGCCCAGTGGCAAGTGTAACGAAGCGAAAGTGATACAGTAGCAGCGGTTGTTGGTAGACGTGTCGGATCTTGTTCATTCGTTCGTTCATTAGTTTCCAGGTGGCCTGAGTTTTGTTTTCACTCGATGGGTGCCTTGCCTTTGTGTTTGTCTCGTCTTTGGTTTGATCTTTTGGTTCGTCGTCCGCCGTATCGTCGTGCTTGTTGCAGACGCACGGCCGGACGAAAGCCGTTGAAGTACGGGTGATTAACAATTGATTGATTGTGTACAGCCTGTTTTCAGTTTTCGGTTCTCGTAAACGTTCAAGGCTTCGTAGGTGTTGTGCTCTGCGACAGGACTGAGTTTTATTTGCTGTTAACTTATTTTTTCTTGAATTCAGTTATGAATTGTTTTAAACAAAAGTCTCATTATTTGTGATACTTATTTTTATTTTGGTTTCTTTTGAATTGTACAGTTTCAGAACAGTTTGCTTTACAGCAATGAGTTGTATGTGATTTGTGCGCTAGTTTGTTTTTTTTCTTGAGACAAATAAACATATATCATCTGTTCATGGTTTCGTTGCTAATATCTACTGCATCGTGTATGACACCGAGAAAGTCAGAGCTGACAGCTGTCGCCTGGTGTATTTAGCGATAGTAATGTGATGTGTTGGCACAATATCTAAGAGGTTTGTTTTGAAGTCCAGGTGTGCCAGTTTCAGTTCTGCGCAAGGGCCATTTGTGAGTTATTCATGAATTCCCTTGAGGAAGAAAATTATCACATTTTTTCAGACCATGGTTACTCACTCGGTAGAGCTTCGAACTCAGAACCGATAAATCACGAGTTCAAACAGATCGGGGTCGCTCACCCTTCTTTTCCCGAGTTTGATAAATGAGTACCATTCTGTGTTAAGGAAACAGAAGTTTGTTCTTAGAGGCAGATTGATGATAAGCGCCTGCGATGCGTGCATGACGCAGAAGGGTCTACTTCTGTAACGATTTAAAATTGTTACATAAAATTAATATCTGAACTGTGATGAATACCGGTCTCGAGTTCAATCCGACCAAGACAAAGAAATTGTATCCCTGGGCGAAAGACGGATTTTGTTCCATGTTGAGGAGCGATTTTCACCTTTATCAACTTCGTTCTACATTCTGAAAATAGTAAGCGCAGAGGAGATGTTTATTAGTTTCAAAAAATTATCTGACAAAGGTAGAAAGTAGAATGTTGCACTGTATGAAACACTGGGGCTTGTCAGAACTAATCTAATCGTATGCTGTGGACGTATCAGAAACGCAGGAACATCCATTGTAGTTGTATTTTAGATGTAGTTCTTACGTTGGGAGCCACCTGCAAGCTGGGGCAAAGTTGATATGTTTGCACCGAGCTTGAAAAATGAGCCATTAGCGGGTAGAAAGTTCGCGAAATGAGCTGGAAGGATTTAAATTAGATGGCTGAGATTAAAAACTGAAAGTAAGTCAAATGAATCTTACAAACACGAAAGTGAGAACTTAAAAATAGATTGAAAAATTTTAATGATAAAATGGCTTTTATCTGAAGTCTGTCTTCGAGATTTCAGCGGTAGGATATTCCATGGGAGCAAAATTTCAAGTTGTCCCTTGCCAGGGGTGGCACAAAATCGATGCGTACATTTTTCCAAACCGAAACCTCGGTGCAGCCTTTACATTCGTATTTAAAATTTTCACTAATTTTAATTTATTTCCAGCTCCTAGTTCCTATTACCACTTCTCTGCAAGTCACTCAGATTAGTGCTAAAGTACTGTGAGAAAATAATGCATTTCACTAGCGCAAGTGTTCTGCCTAGATATTAAACAAGATAGGATTAAAATATGCTTGTAGGTGGAGTCAGTAATCGTGGTCTGCTTAAACGGTCTCCTGAAGGCAGCTGTGAGCAGGAGGGTAGTGCAATATGCCATAAAATCTGCCGTTGGTGCTGTGCGTTATCATATAAGAGGGAATTGTTGTTTATCTTCAATTTTTCTAATTTGCTATGTTAGTACTATTGCTGCGGTAAAACAAATGTTATTTTTTTCAATGCCCGCTGGGCATCAGCCGTTCAACAGTTTTGCCGTTGAACCATCACATACTGCGGAAAAATTCTTCTGAGCTTGTTCAGTGTATTCTGATCGGAAATTACTCTTTTTAATGAGTGTATTTGCCTTGTGTTAACGATATACATGAAGAAAGCTTACTGTAGAGCGAATATTCAGCGTATATTTTAACATTAAATGTGGTTTACAGGTTTACTAAATGCAGAATCTTAAACGACATGGATAAAGATTGCTCGAAACCTTCATTGTTAAGCGTACTTTGAGAAGATGATGGATTTGCGACGCGAAATGTAGATTTGAAGTTCACTCATGAACGACGTCAAGGAACGAAAAAAATAGCTCATTCCCAGCAGTTAATGCTCGAATCCAGTGTAATCACGTTGCTCACACTTTTTCACTCATATCATTAAATATCAGACACCAAAAATTTCGTTTGCCCTATTGCTTAAGTTCTGCTAGTGTCTCGTGAGGATGACAAAACAACAACTCATGCTATCACCCATCTGAACTGAAGTGGCACTTGTCACTCGTATTATGATAATAAAAGCATCTTTTCTTAGAATATCTGGTATGGTTTTAAGAGCAAATATAAATAGAGTGTTATGCCGTATTACGCATAATATTGTTCAGCAGCTATTTTGTACGTACGTCAGGAAAGCGGTTTATTAGTATAGTGCTATCATGCGGTATAACGCCATAGATTTATCAGGCCTTTAAGCAAGGTTTCGTTTTATGCCTCAGGATTTTTCGCAATGCAGCTATTGTCGAAAACAATATTTTAATAAGGCATACTCACGTAACTTCCGGTACTGGATTTACATGGGTGATGTTGTTGTGACTTGTAGTACGTTCAAGTAAGTAACTTGTAAATGCAGTGGAGGCATGTTCTGCTTAAATGGTACTTCTAGGGGACAAGAAACAAGGGGTACATCAATACTACGGCACAACTTTGTGGAATGACTGTCATCCATCTTGCAATACCGCGCTGTTGCTGCAAAGTAAGTAGCTTTAGTACTTAACGGTTTCTGCATCTAAAACCGGTATCAGTAGTTGAAAAATAAAATTTACCGATGGGTGAATTGGAAAGCGGGCAGTTGTCATTTATGGTAACTGCCTCAGGCTATCTGAGACATATTTTGTTCAGTGAAGTATATTTTCTTAAAATAACATAGATTAGACTCCATATATCTTGAAAACGAAAATGGTTATCCTTTAACTATTCTTTACGTGCAGTTCTATTATAAATAAACTTGTAGTGATCTACGCTATGAAGAAAAAAGGAATTGCTTAGACTGAAATGAAACCGTTGGTTTGCCATGAACCCAGTGTCATCAACTGCGTTTCAAGGAAATGAACTCCTGATTAACGTGGCGGATGCTTCTACGCCATTCTTTGATAGAAGCCTTGTGGAGGACACGGTTATTCCAGCAGATGACGTAATGCATAAACCAGTTTGCTCGCAAAAACATAGACAATCTGTTGCAAAATTCAATCTTATATTCCCACCACAGAGGGTCGCATGTCCTTTAGATGATGGTGTTGAATTTGTCTAACATGCACGAAAAACGGAGATTCAGTGAAATAAATTTGAAGCGATGAAAACGGTGCTGTCATCATCTCAGTTGTAATACCTAGCTTTTACCGATCTAGCCGATTATTTGAAGTCCTGTTGTCATAGCACATGAAATTTTGCTACCCCTTGCAAAGCTTACGGTGGCTTTGAGAAATTTCGTGCCCAAAAGTACCCCAATTCTGCCCAGTTTTTAATCCAAGTTGTCTTTTCTAGCCTCTGAAGAACCAAAGCTTAATCACAATCCGGTGGTCTTATTCACGGCCTTTCTTTTTCAAAGCATGGGTCGCGGGGAATTGTGACTCATTTCTAAGGAGTAAACTTGTCGAGCTAAAATCAAGGTACTCATTGATGATTTCCCCGCTGCGTTTTTTCGTAGCTGACGTCTTTATTAGGAAGTTGCTCTCCTACCCTCAACCAAAAAGTAGACATAATCTGCTTTTTTACTTTTGTGCAACAAGTACTAAGTCGTTTTTTACATTGTGACACATAATTGTGTTTCGCAGTATCACAAGGTTGCTCGCCCGTCATAAAAACCTGGTTAAACCTAAAAATAAAGATGAGAAGATTTTTCTGAACTAGCAAATTTAGGGCAGAGAGCAACTGCAAACATTTAGATAACCAAATATTGCAGTTAGTCCTGTTTAACAGTTTGGCCTATATTGTGTAGTGGGTCGCAGACAAACTAACAGACAACAAACGAAGTTAGCTCAATCCTGCGGAGATGTCGAATTGTTACAAGTCGACCAGGAATTAACTGAATCCGTTTCCTGTCTTCACCATATTCAAACTTTTATCTGCCTTTTCCTTTTTCCAAAGACCGTAAAAATGGGCAGCAAACGCGGTTGGATTTGCTTGTCAGCCACCGTATCGATCCAACGGAGCAAACAGGAACTGTCGACTCGTATTTAGAAAATTGGCGATCGTACAAATAACAAGAGTAGTGACAGGTAAGCCAACAATTTAATCAGTCCATTTGGCATTGAGCATTAATGAAGTCAAGCTGTGCATTTTATGACTCTCAGACTTCGCTGAATTTACAGCAGTTATTGTAAATCATTAGTCAGGCTCCGTCTGTAAACAGCTATTATATTACTCAGTCTAATCATTACTTGCAAATTTAAAAAAATTGAATAGCCATTCATAGGCAATTATAGATGGTATTGACAATTCGTAAACGATCTATTTAAAAATGAAAAGCTTTGCAGTTCCAGACACGTTTAGACGACGCTGTAGCTTTAATTTCCTGATTAGTAGCGAGCTGTAGCTAGTTTTGCACTATTTGTTTGACTGCTTTCGCTTCGAACGCTCGAATAACTTCGTTTGGCGTTAATTTCGACAGG